CACGACTCACCTTTGCCACACTGCTGGAAATACCGTATGCGAAAACCTATAAAAAAGTGCTTTTGGATTCAAAAAAACTATGTCGGCAAAAAATGCCGCCTGCTCTATGAGGAAATGCCCACTGTGTTTCGGCACTAGATGTAATATTTTGAATTATTAAATTCTGCATCTTTTGATAATGTGAATGTACTTTGCTTCAGGCAAATAGTGAATATCGATAAATATGGAAAACAAAAGTACATCTTTCGAAATATAAGTGAGTAGGAAAATAGAAGTCTCCTCCTATGTACTGAGAATCGCATAAAATCGGCAATTAATGGTAAATAATCATACGATTAATCGTGTACGCTTAATCGTCATTAATCTGAGATGTTTTCAAGAATCCTGATTAATTCTCAAAAATGCCGCGATTTTGACGACATGAACTTACATTAAATGGAATACGTATGTACATCTGATAGGTATGAGACGAATCGAACCCTCATCGTTGGAGTGAAGAAAATATGAGGGCGCTCGCACTTGAGCACATTTTACATGAGCGTTCGTGCACTGCAAGATATTTTTTATATAAATATACTTTTTTGTTTACATAATAAGTGAACAGGTGTTTACAAAGCAAGTAAACAATTCTTTAAAGATTTTTTTGTTCAAGAATATAGAGAATTTATGATTAGTATATTAAGAGAAACAACACTATAGATTGATCGGTTTTTGCTCGAAAAATAATAAGCTCTAGTCATGTGTCAACCATTCCATTTATATTTGCTGTCTATATGTCTGTACGATTTGTGTAACGTAACGTAAGGGAAGTTTGCAGAGTTGTTTTTACATTGTATACTAATTCTCTTCATCAACTGGAATGTGTTCAATAATTACAGTGACGAAGTCGATTTCCTCATTTGACGGTGAAATTTTTACTTCATTAATAACAGGCATTCCAAGAATTTCTTGATATGAACATGGTCGTTCTTGTACATCATATTTCAGTCTAAATAGAGATATATTCAGATAATCTTCTAAGTCAGTAGGAGAATTAATCATTTGATCAGTAAAGTATCCTATATCATCAAAATCGGTATAAAATTTCGGATTAATTACTAATTTCGAAAAATCGCTAATAATGGCGATTCCTATCACAAGTCAAAATAATAGCGGATTAGTCTCGATTACAGGCCTTAATGCCCTCATATAGAAGGACAGTTTATTGTATCCTATGGGACTCTAACGTTATATTCTATCGGTACGAAAGACATTCGCGCAAATTTTAGTGGAAACTGGTGCTTAGAGTTACAGAATACAAGAATAATTTCTCTTTAGACACAAGCTTTATAACATGCATCTTTAGAGAAGTGTGAGCGAAATTATTGGCGTATTTTTAAGTTGAATTTCGCACATAGACTTACAAGCAATGAATTAATTCATTCATTTCTCGTGAAATTGTTTGTGGAATAGCGAATAACGACGTTTGTAATTTGTATAAGATGTCAAATTCTGATTTTCTATCGTGTAATGGATGAATACCATTGGCAATTTCTAACTAAAAGAAAAGTAACAAATATCATATTCATCTGTCATTGATAAAAGTAAATTCTTTAATCTTACCAGACTAATACCAAGTGCCCACATATCAGAACGAATACCGTATGGTTTACTTGTTTCTAATCTTTCTGGCTATATAAATCAAAAGACACATACATAAACATGGTTTACTATTAATATGTTATTATTATACCGGCATATAGACCATTGTGCCCTTATATGATCGAACCATAGATTTATCTAATTTTCCACATATTCCAAAATCACATATTTTAAAAATACAGTTTTTATTTAATAGAATATTTTGAGGTTTAATATCACGATGAATAATATTTTTCTGTAGTTTTAGATAGTTTAGTGCATCTGTGGTCTATAATGAAATAATATCATAACAAATTTGGATATAAAAAGTCATTTTATATATTTAATATTCTACTTACATTATGTACTAAACGTCGTAATGTTTGATCAAGTAAGTCTAATTTGTTGATTAAATGCATTGTAGGATAAAATTTATCCATAGATGTGTCCATGACTTCCATACATATGCACAGTTCTCGCTCCTAAAATATTTGAATCAATTAATTGTATATTAAGTATTAAAACTATATTTACGTTATTCATGAGTGCTCCGTAAAATTTAACAACATACGGTTGATTGTCCGATTTAACATCTTCCATTGTTTTCAGATCATTCATAGTTATCAGTCGATTTTCATGATCACTGTGTAATAACATTTTCTATAATATAATTAGAAGTATAACTATTATTATTATTGAAGTGTTGTAAGATATTTCTACCTTAACCGCCATTTGAACATTTGGATGATCATGAACACGCTCTAATTCCACTCGTCCGGACTGTCCCACACCAATTGTTCGAATAAACTCTAATTTATCAACATTTATATGTATTTCTTTATCTCCATAATTAATCGTTGTACTCTTATTTGGTAGTGCAAAGCTAAAAAGAAAAGATTGGAGTAGGAAATAGGTGATACCAAGAATCTGATCGACATACGGGTAAGATGGTGGCTCATTTATTTCAGGAAAGTCAGTTGCGTCTGCAGCAAGAATAAGTACTAAAAAAAGAAAAACTTAACTAATAATTTATAGTGTAAAATAAGCTTTCAGCCTTTGTGATCTAAACTCAAAGTAGCAACTGAATTTCAAGGGAATAAACAAATATCGGGTGTCGTAGAATAAATGGCCCTTCTCGTATTTTACTCATAATTTTTTTTCTGTTGATTTCTTATACCAGGCTGTTTTTCCAAAAGATACACCGTCAAATTTTCTACAAGACTTGATCAAACTTACTTCTGGAGAAAGTTAAGGAGAAAAATTAAATAAAGAATACTCAACATAATGAAGCGGACCAACTTTCTAAGCTATTTTGTTTTACAAATTTTAGAATATTTTAAGCAATTCTGAGGACAATGAAACAAAAATGAAGATATTTTTGAGTACTTTGAAGTGCGTTCTTTCTTCATGTGTGATTCACAGTTCGTTTAAATCTAAGTGAGCACTGAAAAATCTAACATTCCAAAAATTCACCTCAATGTAACTAAAATCTGCTGTTGAATTTATGAAGGAAGCTTTAAGGTAACTATCACCGCTGGCTCTGTCACAGGTGTCATTTGTCTTCAAAATAAAAAAAGACTCAGGTAAAAAGGTGCTATTTTCGCTTCGTTATACAGCATTTTCGAGGAGCTCTAAATCTACACAGTCAAATAGCTGGATTTTGCAAAACTTCAAAGAAGAGAAAACCTATGTAAGCCTCAAAGATTCGATTCCGTATTTGTGCACCTAATACTGGTTGATGGAGGTTTTCAAGAGCTACAAAATGACATTTCTTTTCTTTTTATCATCCAACTCAACGATACTAGTTGAACAAAACGTTTTTTCTTAGAAAGTTGGTCTGTTTCATTATGTTGAGTATTCTTCGTTTAATTTTTCTCCTTAACTTTCTATAGAAGTAAGTTTGATCAAGTCTTGTAGAATATTTGACGGTGCATCTTTTGGAAAAACAATCAGATCTAAGGATTCAAACGAAAAAAAATTATAAGTAAAATACGAGGAGAGCCATTTATTCTGGGCCACCCGATATATAGATTATAATTTGATAAGTTATAAAATATGTTGTTTTTTCACGCAGAATTAAATCTATCTTCTACAAGTGACTACCGTTTAAAACTTACGTTAGACCAGAATCAATTTAGATTTTTTCAGTTACTTAAGACATGAACAGAATTTTAGCAATCTTAGAAAGCATTGGAAGATATCACCTGTCTATTGGTAACTAACCTTTTCGAGGCATTTTTACTCAACAATAAAAAATAAACAGCTTTTGTTAATAGAAAGGAAACGAAAAGAATGTGTAATGAAAATCTATTTGTGATTATTTACCGTCGATACACATGTTGAAAATGAAAGAAAGAAAGAATTCAGAAGAAAGCAAAATTGCTAACCACTGTAAGTTGGTAAGAATAAAATATTTTTTATCTGGATATTTCCAGGAAAATATGTTGGAAAAGACCATAACTATTTATCTTTTTAAGCAAACAATCCAGTTTATGTCCAGTTATCAATGTTGTGATGTATTTTTGTTCAGTCTTGCACATCAACGACCGATGGGGTTAATAGTCAGAAAATATGCGTGCCTTACTTCTTGTAAGGTAATTATTCTTTCATCTTTATTTTTAATTTTCTCTTCGATCATAATACTTAGGACAAATTCGTAAAAAAATTGAACAGCTTAAAGAATTTCCAAACTGATTTAGTGTGTAAGAGTTGCATCGAAATTTCTGATATCAAGATTTCTGAAAAACCATAATCTCAGAAAAACTCGTCCTCTAATCCGGCTGAGAAATTTTTTAGAAATAATTCTTTCGTATAGAGCGAACATTTCTGAACAAAATAAAACGTCTTCGAGATTTCTACGACATTTTTCCAGGAAACGGCATCTCATTGACGAAATGTCCCATACCATCAAAAATAGCAAAATTAATGGGAAAACAAGAAAGGTATCCAGGCATAGAGGACATATCTTTGTGCTTTTGTGTTTATAACCGTATGAGATAGAATTAAGATATTCTTATCACATATACTGTGAAACGAGCTTTCTGCAACAATGTTGTTGAAATTATCACATGTTGTCATACATAAAACATCAGTACACAAAATATGTTTGAATTACTAATGATATTCGAAATGATTTAGGTGATACAATCAGATCCAAGCGACATCTCGAAAATCCATGTTTCAGGAACTATGGGCGTTTGTCTTGAAACCTTAGGGCTCCTCTGCTGTTAGGTTTGGGATTGTCAGACATGAATGAAAACATAGGTTACCGACTATGCTGAATCTCGTGACAGCATTTGTTTTTGAAAACAGTTTCAAAACCTAGTGAAAACGTACATTAGGTGAATATTCCATTTTTGCCTATTTTTCAGTAAAATTCAAAAATTCATAACTCAGTCAAGATCTACCCAAGTTATATCAGAATATCAAGTTGTACTCTGTCTTACCTGTTCAATACTAAGCAGTTCAATAGAAGCTTTAAAAATCGACAGAGAATACTCTGGTTTTTGAAAGGATTTCCTAGAAATCATCCTAAGTACAAGGATGTTTTCACTATTTCCAAGTAAAAATGGTTTGGAGCAGGTAAAATAGAGTACAACTTGATATTGTGATATAACTTCGATAGATCTTGACTGAGTTATGAATTTTTGAATTTTACTGAAAAATAGGCAAAAATGGGATATTCACCTAATGTACGTTTTCACCAGGTTTTGAAACTGTTTTCAAAAACAAATGCTGTCACGAGATTCAGCATAGTCGTTAACCTATGTTTTCATTCGTTCACTAAACGATTTAAAAGATTTGTTTGACGACATCATCGACGGGTAACTGAAGAAAAGAAATTAGAGAAGAAAAATAATCGTGTTTTGCCTACAGGCTTCTGACCGTGACAGTAGCAACAACTTCAAATATGTAAATTTTCTCACGGCAAGAAAGACTTTAGAGCGTTTGATAGCTCGGAGTTTCGACACTTAATAGGAGATTTCATTTAGAAGGCATACATGGCGAATTAAATAGGATACTAGTTTACCAGGCATATGGTAAGATCATGATGAAGTGTATCAGCAGGCTTAAATGAATTAAGACAGTTTTCAAATGAAATAAGTTTTACTTCGAATGAAAGCGAATGGTTATCAGATACATTTTTAAACAATTTGAGAGTAAGCTTTTGCCATGAAGTGATGTTTCGACTAAATATTTTATGGTATTTCTTTGTAAAACTTTGATGTAAAAGGACAAACAACGATCATATTTTTTTCTATACCTCGAAGTTTCAACTTCTACTCCGAAGAGGTTTACGCTTTCGCACAAAATAGCGAAAAAACATTTTCAGAGGAAGTAATATTAGTTTCAAGATTTTTCCTAAACTCTGGCAATGTCGTCTCGCTAAAAATAGTAAGTCTTTTGGGTTATTGAGTGTGCTGAATGCGTAAAAGGACTTTTTCGCGATGCTCCATGAACTTTATTTTTCTGTCGGTGATATATGGTATTCTCCACACATCGATACAAAGAATGTCGCTCGGTGCACCATTTCGAAGTTATTCACCTTTCTGTTTGATGATTAGTCAGAGGAGTTTATAGCAACGACAAAAATTTAAGAGCTTTCTGATTTTTCTCTCATTGAGTTATACAGTGGGATAATATGGTCTCACTATCCATCGGTTGGACGTTCTACGGTGACTGTCATTCGTGACTATCGATCAGTTTAAAAATAAAGTAAAAAGCCTTGCAAAACCATCAGCGATATTTGTTTTTTACTAGTGGTATTTTCAAAATTTTCAAAATAAAAGATACAACATGTTTAACTAATTTTTTTGCTAAGGAATGTGTTGGCAAAACAATCAGTCGTAATAGGAATTGTTTGGTAAAGTTGTGCCAACGACCAGACTGAAAGTTCCACGGATCTGGTAAAGATCGAATAAGTGAAAAACTCAGATCGTCCGTGTTAGTATAGTGGTTAGTATCCCCGCCTGTCACGCGGGAAACCGGGGTTCGATTCCCCGACACGGAGTATATTTTTTTTGTTTTTTTCTTTCATTCTTAAAACGAAACAGAACTATTATTAGCTATCTGAATAAAGAACAGAAAAGATTAACTTTTTTCTTTTTATTTCTACAGAGTAAATTTTTTTATCATAACATCATTTACAATTCACTACTATAGTCTATTCTTTTAAAGGACTTGCGAATGAATGCGTTGTATTGTCTGACTAGGCAAGAAAAAGATATGAAAATTTAACCTCCAGCTCCGTTGTATTTATTCAAAAATAAGAAATAACCTACCTGTTGTAACATCATTAGATGGTTCATATTTCTGAATAACAACATGTATGTAATGCATTTATTTCAAGAAAAGAAAATGGAAACGTTTACACAAATGTTTCATCAAAAGTTCGTTCTGTGTTAGCTAAATCATCATACTGGTCCCCAATGTTCAGAATCATCTTCGGCTTTAATAAATCAAACGATTCAAGTGTTCGTTCATCATCACTGTTTTCGATATGAAAAAGAGAATTTTCAGTTTCATCCAAAACATGAATGTCTATTTTACTTGTCGGTGGTAATCCAGTTATTCGAATGAGTTCGGTCTGAAATTAAATAAATTATAGTACACGTAGTCTGAACATCCAGGAGTCACTTAGAAAAATCTCTAAGTAAAATTACAGTGCAAAGTCATTTATATAAAAAAAGACTGCACATATCCCGCTTTTTCGAATTATACACTAGTTATGATGATTCATCGCGTTTTTTGCCATTGTTAAACTCAAAAACTTTTTGGCGAAAATTGTATTGAAAAGCGCACGCAGTATAAAGCAAAAGAAAGATTCCACAATAAATTACAAAAGACTATCGCTTTTTCGTTTATTTTTTGCATGAAAAAATACAGCGCAAGAAAACGCATTTAAGAACCATGAATTTTCTGATGTTGCGTTAGTGTGGTCAAAACAGTGCCAGAAAACGCGCATTTCTGCAAAAATTGTGAAAAAAATTGACATGAGACTTCCTCAACACAAGTTTCGATGACGTATACAGGGTGTACCAAAAGTCACCACAGTCAATAATCTTAGTCTGAAAATTTTTCTTAAACTTTTTACAGTACTCCTCGCCAAAAATAGAAAATCTTCTGAGTTATCGAGTGTGCTGAATAGGAAAAAGCACTTTTCAACAACTCAGAACCAATGTTATGTTTTTCTGGTGATATGAAAATTAATGTGTCGCATGTGTTGCAACGACGACAACATCTGCGACTCATTA